CACAAAGGCCCATTAGTTGGAATTGGATTGAGAACTTCGGATTTACTTGGAGTCTAAAGGAATAGGGAGTGATTAGGGGACTTAATTATGTGATTAGACAAGATTTAGTTAGCCTCTAGTTGGAATGAAACTAGGTTGGGAACACAATCCCTTGATTTAGGGGTACTTGGTACTTTTGCTTCTAGAATGCCATGATTACCAGCCTTGAAAATTGATCCCTCACACTCCCCTAGGTTGGCTGGCCACGGGGAAGGGAAATGGAGAATATTCTATTCAATATATGTGTACTATGGAGATATTCCCAATATATATATAGATCCACAAATTGATTTGGTGGTACTATAGTGTAAAAAGTACATGTACTAGTTTGGTGCAAATCTTGAAATTAATAAAAGAAGTAAGGGCTTGGAATTAAACTCATGTATTGGAATATTATTTTTGTATAATTAAATTAAATTAGGCTAAGGAACCTAATTCGGCTAGGATATTCTTGTTCCGATAAAAATTAAAAATACTAATCGGGAAGATTCAAAATAATTTAAGAAACTAAGGGGCTTTAAGGAAATAATTCAAACGTAAGGGTTTTTAAAGAAAATACATTTTTCAGGGGCTTCACAACCTATCCCCCTTAAAACAATTTCATCCCTGAAATTCAACTATATACTGCCTTCGAAAAGTTCGGGGTAGTTTGCCTTCACCCAATCCTAGCATTCCCAAGTAGATTCCCCAATGACGCCAAAGCACTTTTACTAAGTGAACCGTCTTGCCTCTAAGGTTCTTCTCTCGACTATCTTGTATCGCTACCGGTCCTTCTTCAAAGGTAAAATCTTCGTCAAGACTGATTTCTTCCCAATTGAGGACATGTGACGGGTCGGCGATATGTTTCCTCAACATAGATACATGGAAAACGTTGTCTATCCTTGCTAACTGCGAGGGTAGAGCTAGTCTGTATACCATTTCGCCCACCCATTCCAATATCTCAAATGGCCCAATATATCGTGGTGATAGCTTCTCCTTTCTTCCAAATCGTGTGATCCCACACCTAGGTCGTACCTTTAGAAACACGTGGTTGCCTACTTCAAACATCAGTGGCCTTCTCCTCCTATCCGCATAATTCTTTTGACGGTCTTGAGCAGTTTTTAACCGTTGTTGGATAAGTTTGACTTTCTCAGTAGTTTCTAGAACAAGTTCGGGTCCTATCAGATTTGCTTCACCCACTTCAGTCCAACAAATCGGCGATCTACAAGGTCATCCATATGATGCTTCAAAAGGCGCCATACCAATGCTAGCTTGAAAACTGTTATTGTAGGAGAATTCAATTAGGGATAGATGTCATTTCCAACTTCCTTGAAAATCCATTACACAGGCTCGTAGCATATCTTCGAGTGTTTGGATGGTGCGTTCTGACTGCCCATCTGTCTGTGGATGAAAGGCGGTACTAAAACATAACTCAGTACCTAGGGCTTCCTGCAGAATTTCCCAAAAATGAGAGGTGAACCGTGGATCACGATCTGACACAACAGATACCGGAATTCCATATAGTCGAATGATTTCCCCAATGTAGAGCCTGCACATAGACTCTAAAGTGTCAGTTATCTTATAGGGTAAGAAATGTGCTGACTTAGTGAGGCGATCCACTATTACCCATATAGCATTGCGCCCTCTGGGTGTCTTGGGCAGCCTTGTCACAAAGTCCATTGTCACGTACTCCTACTTCCATTCGGCTATTGGTAGGGGTTGCAACATTCCTCCTGGTTTTTGATGTTCCGTCTTCACCTGTTGGTATGTTAGACATTTTGCAACAAATTTAGTCACATCCTTTTTCATTCCGCTCCACCAATACTGTCTCTTCAAATCTTGGTACATTTTAGTCCTACCTAGATGTACCGCAAATACAGAGTGATGACATTCCTTAAGTACCTTTTCTCTAAGCAACTCGTTACTTGGTACAAACAATTTACCTTGATATCTTAAACTCCCATTGGGGTGAATTACTCAATCGAGCATTGGCTCTCCTGATTCCAGACGTCCCTTGATATAGGCTACTTCTTGATCGTGCTTTTGGGCCTCCATGATCTCACTTATCAACTTAGGCATCGCCTTCTGTGCACCAAGGTATACCTTTGTATCTTGACATTCTACTTGGATTCTAAATTCATTGAGTGTCTTAACCATATCCTATTTTTTGACGGAAATTTTAGCCATCATCCTTCTGCTCTTGCGACTTAGAACATCTACTACTACATTGGCTTTACCGGGATGATATGAGAGAGTGAACTGGAAATCCTCAATTTACTCCATCCATCGTCTCTATCTCAAGTTAAGGCCCTTCTGTGTAAATAGATACTTCAAACTCTTGTGATCTGTGAAAATCTCAAATTGTTCCCCATACAGGTAATGTCGCCATTACTTTAGGGCAAAAACTACGGTCGCTGATTCCAAGTCATGTGTTAGGTAGTTATGCTCATGTGGTTTCAATTGCCTAGATCCATACGCGACTACCTTTCCATTTTGCATGAGCACGTAACTTAACCTTCCTTAGATGCATCGCAATACACAGTGTACTCCACTTCTCGTTCCGGGATGGTCAAAATTGGTGCACTAGTTCATCTCTTCTTTAGCTCTTGGAAAGATTTTTCGCAAGCTTCATCCCACTCATACTTTACTCCTTTTTGCATCAAATGAGTCATTGGTCTAGCTAGTTTGGAGAAATCTTAGATGAACCTTCGGTAGTAACCAGCCAATCCTAAGAAACTGCGGATTTCTGACACAGTTTTCGGTTGTGTCCAGTCTAAAACTGCTTCCACCTTGGTTGGATCCACCGCATTCCCATTCTCAGACACTACATGCCCTAAGAATTTCACTTCATTCAACCATAACTCACATTTGCTTGCCTTGGCATATAACCGGTTGTCCCTAAGAACTTGAAGGACAATCCTTAAATGTTACTCATGCTCTTCTTCAGACCTTGAGTATACCAAGATGTCATCAATGAACACTACTACAAATTGGTCAAGATATGGTGTGAAAATCTTGTTCATTAGGCTCATGAATACTGCCGGTGCATTGGTTAGTCCGAAGGGCATTCCTACAAACTCATAGTGACCATATCTGGTTTGAAAGTCAGTTTTTGGTATATCCTCCTCCTTGACTCGTAGTTGATGATATCTTGACCTGAGATCAATCTTTGAATAGCACCTTGAGCCTCTAAGTTGATCAAAAAGGTCATCAATCCTTGGGAGTGGGTATCGGTTCTTGTTCGTGACTCGATTGAGTTGACGATAATCGATGCATAGCCTTAACGACCCATTATTCTTTTTAGCAAACAGCACGGGTGCTCCCCATGGTGAAGTACTTGGCCTAATGAATCCTTTCTCGAGCAACTCCTGTACTTGTGTCTTTAATTCTCTTAGTTCTGCTAGTGCCATGCGATATGGGGCCATGGATATTGGCGTAGTTCCAAATTGTAGCTCAATACTAAAGTCTACCTCTCGGGTTGGTGGCAATCCCGGTAATTCCGTAGGAAATACATCTGCATATTCATATACTACGCGCGGAAGTTCTAATTCTTCTTGGCCTTCCTCATTTAAAATCAAACTTGCTATCCTACCCGCAAGTTGATCGTGCCACTGTGTCCTACGTTTCGTTGAAGTTATGGAGTCTTGTTTATCCCCCTTAAACTGGAAACGTGTTCCATCAGGCGTGTGAGCTACTGCTTTCCTCTAACAGCAGTCGATCACCGCTCGGTGGGCAGACAACTAGTCTATGCCCAAAATGATATCGAAGTCTGACATTTCCATGACACGAAGGTCGCAAGTTAAGTGTAGGTTCGACATTCCTATTTTATAATCCTTACAGATTAATCCTATCTGAACGCATCCTTCCACAGGTGACATTACATTTAAGGTAGTCTCTAAGGGTTCACATACAAGTTCTAATGACTTAGCACAAGCAGAGGATATAAAAGAATGTGATGCACTAGTATCAAATAAAACATGCATCCAAGAATTATATAGCACTAAATTATCCTCAATTACAGACGGGTTTGCTTCTTCCTCTTGCAAGGTAAAGACTCTGCTGGTTGCCTTCTGGTTGCTACTGGTCCTAGCGTTCTGAGTTCTTTCACTCTTCTGGTGCTGCTGCCTAGTAGATCTTGTCTTATTTTGTCCAAGGCTTCTGCCCACATAATACCTGGGCATTTGCTCCGGAACCTCCTCCTTGGTATTTGGATGGAGGGAGTTGAGGGTATTCGCTCTTTTTGTGCCCCAATTGTTGGCAATGAAAGCACTGGAGTTGTCCTGCCGACCTTGGTTGATAGCCTCCTCTCTGGATCTGTTGCTGCGGTTGTTGCCGTTGCTGTTGTGGTTGTGGTCTAGAGTAGGGCTTCGAGGCCATATTTTCTTTCTGGTTCCTCTGAGGTCCAATAGATGTCTGACCTCCTTTCCGCTTGTTCCAAGTCTTCCTAGTGTCTGTTACTTCCCTTTCAGATTCTAATGCCGTCTCCAACAACAGCAACGACAATAAGTGCAAAATTTCCTCTAATTTGATATATAAATCGAAATTTAAAGGTCAAATTAAAAAATACATAAAAGTTTGAGGGGGGCGAAATGATATTTCCTCTAATTTGGTATATAAATTTTTGAAGGTTCGGATGGGAAGAATCTAATAGATCTTTTCAAAAGCAAAGGCGGTTGCGGTCACCCATGCTAACACCCCTCAGTCCATCTAATTGAAACCATTTGTGTAATCACCAAACAATATTTAAGGTTGTTTTGGAAAGTAATTATTTTAATTTATTTTTTAATGATTATTTTTGTTTTGTTTTTATTTGTTTTCTACTTTTTGACTATTTTAGCAATTGCTAAAACAGCCCTTAATTTGCCGATAATTTTATCATATTTTTAACTGATTTATTATATCAATTTTCAGAACTAAAACAAACACACAAGACACTAAAAAAATTCAAGTAGAAAATAGTAGAAGCTTTGGAACCTTGTAAATAACTGCAATAGCTACAAAAGGGCCCAACAAATTTCCATTTCTTTTGTTCTTTTTCCTTGTTCAATAAACAAATATAACACTATACAGAGCTGGGAAACAGTATCATGCTGCATATGCACTGTATGATTAGAACGAAAAATAGCACAACCTTAATTTTTTGAATCATAAAAAAAAAAAAATAAAAAAATATCACAACTAAACACAAGATACAAACAAAGAATTAATGAATCATATCTAAAATATTGTCATAATTAAAAAAAGAAAATAACATAAAGCGGTGTATATTTGAATTTGCCGACAGAGCTACCAAACAAAACAGATCTACTTTGATTCCATAAATTGCTTCCTAAAAAACCAAATCGTAGGTTGAATGATGTAGAAATGGAGGATCACTGATCAGTAAGAATGGCTGTGGTGGTGGTGCTGATGGTGTCTGTGTTCGTCAAATCCAAAGCACCGCATGAGTGGGTAACAAGTCACAAACAAACACCTCCCAAGCCCTCTGAATATGGCGGAGACTAGAAAGCAAGGGCTGCAACAGCAAGCCATGAATGGATCATCATATGGGCTAACCCTTCCATGGTGGTGGTGATGATGGTGATGGTGTCCGTCATGACCCATGTTCGAATTTCACCTGATCACAAAAAAACAGCAAATACCCACAAATCAAACAGCAAAATCAGATCAACCCATGTCGACATGCTTACATATGGTGATCAGATCAAGAAAAATGGATTAAGTTCTGTTATTTCTCAGTAACTTTACCTTTCGTGCTTTAATTTGGTAATTGAAATTTGAAGCTTTGTTACTGTTTGGATTGCAGGAGATCTAAAGCTATATTTTTATGGAGAGAGAGAGAGAGAGAGAGAGGGAGGGAGCCTTCGTTGGGGGGTTATGCAGTTGAAGAAAGCAAAGGGTTTAGAAAAGAAGGATGCTGTTTGACGCCGCGTGAACCGCGTGTTCGGTTGTGCCGCGAGCTATCGCATTTTATGGTGGCCCATTTTGCTCCCACATAGTTTTAGAATTTGGGTGAATCACAAATATATTTTTAGGCAATCGATCAATAAGTTTTATATTTTAAACTTGTGATTTATATAGTTTTATATTTTTATTTTAAATTTATTTAATTTTTTTAGATGTATAATGATTCATTTGCCTATCACATTGGAGTGTCATATTTAGAAAAAGTATATTAAAGAGTTTTTAGTGTCACATCATGCCCGCCACGTTAGAGTGTCACATTTAGAAAAAGTACACTAATTTTTTTTTAAATTTTTTTATAGTGTCACATCATACCTGTCATGTTGGAGTGTCACATGTCATGTTTGAGAAAAGTACATTACGGAATTTTTTTTTAAAATGTCATATCATACCTGCCACGTTGTGACGTTTAGAAAAAAATACATTAAAGAGTTTTTAATTTTTTTAGAGTGTCACATCATACTTGTCACATCGTCACATTTGAGAAAAGTGCACTAGCAAGTTTTTATTTTTTTTAAAGTGTCACATCATACCTGTCACGTTGTCACATTTGAGAAAAGTACACTAAGAAATTTTTATTTTTTTGAAGTGTCACATTATACATGCCACTGTCACATTTGAAAAAGTACACTAAGGATGAATTATTTTTTTTAGAGTAAAAATTTTGGAGTGTCACATCATACCGGTCACATTGTCACATTTAGAAAAGTATACTAAGGAGTTCTTAATTTTTTTTGGAGTGTCACATGGTTGGAGTGTGATATTAATACTTGTCACATGAGAGTATCACATCATACCTGTCACATTAATAAAATATTATAACTGTCTACCAAAATAAAAAACAGGATCACACGGAAAGAAACTCTCCATTAATAGGACTTAGCAGATTAATAGAAAAAACTTAGAACTAATTGGAGTACTTGTTTGTGAGATGAGATTTATTGGTAAATATCCCTAATTTTTTTGAGATTTGTTTAAAATACAGATTATTTTTTATAATTTAAAAAATTACAATTATCTCTTGTTAGAAATTTTTATTTAACAGAATTAATTAAAAAAATAAAATTCATAATTACTCTCCAATATAATAATAAAATTATCTAAATTATTAATTGAAACATATTTATAATATCATTAAAAACTGTTAATTGACTTGATGACTTATTAATAAAATGGACAATTTATTATGAAATTAGAAATTTCAAAGGTGGAATGTAATTTGTAAAATTACAGGGGCGATTTGTATTTTAATTAAATCTCAGGGAGTGTATTTATAATTTACCCTTAGAATTTTAAATCTACTTTTCAGAAGATTAATTTTTTAATTTTTTTGTAATTTTTTTTATTTGTATTAATTTATTAATTTTTTTTTAGTTTTTAAATACACCTAACATGAATGCATTAAAAAATATAATATTTACAGATTTTTTTTTAAAAAATTCAATAAATATCAAAAATATTTTAAGAAAATGGAAATTTAGTATATTTTCATATACTTGTGTATTTATTGATTTTAATTTTTTTTTTTTACAAATATATTACTTTTTAGGTATATCTAGGTTATGTGCATTTAAAAAGTAAAAAAATTGCTTAAAATTTACTAAAAAAAAAAAACCGAAAAGTAAAATACTCAATTTTCAAAAAAAAATGAAACCAAATAAAGTGACTCAGGGAAATACTATGGTATACACTCTTTAAAAGATGTGTATTATATACACCTTATAATTAAAGAAGAAAATCATATAATTATATATTTTTTGAGTCATTATTAAAATAAAAAAATATGTCATAAGTAAATGCAATATGAAGCATAACTAAAGAAAAAAATTAATCATCACTAAAGAAAAAAAATGACATAATTAGAGGCACATATAGTGCACTCTTTTGAAAATGGTGTAGGTTAGAATTTCTCTAAAACTCACCCTTGATTAGAATGAAATAAGGTTCTCAATAGTACAATGTAATAAAGCAATCTGAAAAGAGAAGAAAAAAATTATAAATAATGAGTTTGTTTAGTTAGAAAGTGATGGAAAATAGAAGAAAATTAATTTTTTTGTACAACTCATGTTAACATTGTAACTAATTTTTAATTTATTGTAAAAAATACAAGAAAAATTGAATGTATGAGTTATCTATAACTAAACTTTTAAATTTTTCTATTTTTTTCTTACAAAATTTTCATCTCAATCAAATATTTGTAAGAAAATATATTTTCTCTTCTATTTCTTTTCTTTCACTTCATTTTCTTTCACTTTCACTTTCAACTATTTTTTTTAGCCTAACACTCACCATTTGATTTTCAAAAGGTGTATGTTAGAATTTCCCTAGAACTCACCATTTCAATTATCTAAAATAGTAGCGATTACTACTTTGGATAGAATTGATATATTTGTATCATATACATTTCTAATTATGATTTATTGTAATGTTGGTTATGAGATTATTTTGATATGCACTCTTAATTATGATTTATTGTAATTTTAGTTATAAAATTATTTTTATGAGATGTTTATAACTTATTATACTGTTAGGCCCGTGGAACTTGTCAATTACTTTATTCCTGCTAAAAATCAAGTTGATCGGATATTAATAGCCCCTTGATCGAAACACATTTTTGCTAATAATTTATTTTTAAAATCATATTTACCATTGAAAAAAATGTGTTTCGATAAAGAGGCTATTGATATTCGATCAACGTGATTTTTTTTTGCAAAAATGAAGTATTAGACGAGCTCTATATATTGAACGGTTTAGATTATCGAAATGGGACCTGTGGTGAGCCTCATAAGCCCAACAGTACTGTTCAGTCCACTTTGTGGACTGTAAAGAAGCCCATCTCTTTGGTTATATATATATATACTAGTGTATGCCCGCACCTAAAGGTACGGTGTAAATAATGTTTTGTTTGAATAATTTTCATTTATCATTCTCTCTTAAGCTAAGAACATTGAGAATCAAGTATACCTAAAATTCTGTTTTCCCATGACATACAAAAAATGAATAGATAACATACATTTTAGCAAGAGGATCTCCTTTATTATAGATATAACTTCAAAATAAGAGGAACAACAAAATGGTGTTCTCCCTTTGGAGCACACCATGCCAATACAAAAATGGCATTCTTGATTAAAATCTAAATAACAAACACCTCCAAATATCTACCTCTCAAACCAACAAGTTTACACAATGTCAATCCGCCTCTAAATAATCTTTAACTTTATACAATATCAATCATTTTCAAAGTTTGTCAATGATAAAACCAAAAATAGTGTAAATTCTGCCCTCGAGATTGCCACTCTTTCAACACTCATCAATCAAAGAAGTGCACGTTTAGTTTACACAATAATAAATACAAAATCATTAGAGAGATAAGAAAAACTTAAGCTTAAAAAAATATAGACCTGTAAAAAGGGAGTCAATATTACCATTCGTTTCTAGTCTTCATCCACTTGTAAAATATAGAAAATAGCCAATATGATTGTGGGTGTTGATTTTTGACCACAAACCAAACGGGGAACTTAACTGGAGCGCACCGGCAGAATATATTAAGCTCGAACAACCTATCACAGAAAGATAAGAATTCGGCGGTGATTCGTCCACCCAGGAGCACTCCGATGATCAAGTCAGTAATCAAATATCTCTCAAAGATGGCAAACTGTGCTTAACTCACAAGAAATAACTTACTGCTTCCAGTATATCACACATACATGAGACCCACGGGGGTGCCTTGCTTTTATAGCCAGCACTGACTTGATCCTTGTAGAAGCCTCACTTCAATGAACTTAGGCTCAATGCTCATCCTGGACTCTTAACTAAATAGAGATAAACTCCCTAAGAGCTTTATCTTTATCCAGACTGAGATCCTCCCTTATTCTAGGACTTTTGTCCTTTATCTGCTCATCTCAAATTTTGGTACCTCCGCAGATAATGTCGGCCTAGCCGAGATCACCTCGGCGTATGACCAGGCCATGTAGTACCGGGGCTGACACTTCGGCGTCACCTTGGCCACGTGTTGTCATTCACAAAATATGTCCCCACAACTGCCTCCTAGGTTCTATTACCTCAGCATCCTGAGGTGATGGAACCTACATTGCTTATTCATACATGTGGGGGCCGAATACATGGAAAAATCAGATGGTGTGTACCATTGGAAGACTGATATTAACCGGCTATATCCTACGAGAGTGGCGAGCCAAATATAATATATGTGCCGAACAAGTGTAAGTCCTTAGGGCCGAATAAAAGAAAGGACAATGATTAAAAAGTAGGCCCTGACCCCGAGGATCAAAAAGAACAGGTATAAATATAGGAATAACAGTTGTAGAAAGGTATGTAAGAATCACTTCACAAAACTTAGTAAAGAAGCTATCCTGAGTGTCTGAACTAACTTGTCCGTCGGAGTGCTAATTCCGGCACCCCCGACTGGAGTGTTTGTATCTTTTCAGGTGACTAGCTGAGGATCACTAGCGTCTCTCAGGATCCGAAGAGTATTTCCAAACCAATTCTCCACAATTGGCGCCGTCTGTGGGAATACTCAAATACATGCATGGCAGGCGTGACTGAAGATCCTCCGGTGGCCATTGACGAGACCGCACAGGGAGATGACCTCACTCCAGCAAATATGCTCGGAAAAGAAACCATCGCTGCAAGACGCGCCTTGAACTTCGACTCACCAACAACCTCAGCGCACGAGACAATGCAGGCGATCATCGAACAAGCAAAGCAGAATGAACAAAGGTTGGAGAACATGATCGCTGAAAATGAACGTCTCCGTCAAGATTTGGCCCTCGAAGTCGCAAAATCGAGAGAAGCCATGCGCCAAGATCCCGAACGACCCCCGAGGGCCAGTGGACAACGACCTTGAGCCCGACCAGAGGCTACCGATAGCGACTCTAACTCATTAACCATGGAGCTCAACAAGAAGGGACGATCCGAAACTCTCAGCTCCTCCGAAAAGAGTCTACATACAAGGAACAAGCGCAGGAGGAGCAGTTCAGA